GTTGCAGTCCACCCATCTTAAAGTCCCCACGGTTGAGAAGCACTGGGCTAGATTGGTGGAAAGAAGACAAAAAACAGGCTGGGGGTGGGTGGGAGGAACGACTTGGCAGGGGCTTTCTGAGTGTGGGGGCCAAAACATACTCTTTGATTCTCTTTCCCCTCCTGCTAGTAACCAACCGAAACGAAGCGCTTGGAAAGCAGGGAGAGTGTTGGGGGCAAGAGACGGGGTTTGGCGGAGGGGAGGCAGGGCAGTCGTTCGGGCGACGAGTGTGCAAGGCACGGGCCACGCCAGACCCATCACCTTCTTCTCTCCCCCCCACCGCATAGGTTTTACAAGTTGCATGAGCGGAAGTGTGAGCCCATTGTGATGACGGTTCCCCGTAAGGTGAGTCTTCATCACGTTAATCAAATGGGGAATGGCTGGCTGGGGAATTCTGGGAGTTGAAGTCCACACGTTTTAAAGATGCCGAGGTTGACCAGCACTGGTACAACGTTCAAATGCTCATCGAACGTGAAGGTGTATCTTTGCAGAGCAACCACACGGTTTTGTTAATTTTGACACTTACAGAGAATCAAAAGAGGTGTCAAAATGCAGAGGATTGGTCCTTGTGTTATATTGTGTATTTGCTAGGGGGTTGATTTGGGCGCTCTACAAACAGTTTATGAGGAAAAGGGGGTCAGACAAAATCCAGGAGTGTTATCCAGGATGGCAGCCCTGACTGCATGATTGAAGCCCCCCCCTTTTTTTTTTTGCATGAGTGAAATTGCACCCATAAATTCAGGATAAAACATGTTGGGGTCCCACCCAACAGCCGTTGCATTCAGGGGGCTCTTCTAAGTAGATACAGTTCTTCCCCACCTCCCCTTCCGTCTTACCCCTGCTTTTAAACGGGGGGATTGCAAATCATCCTGATTTTTAAACCATCCAAATAGGAATCAGTGCTTTTTTTAGTAGTAGCTTGGAAAGGTGCGTGCAGATAAACCTTCCTTTCACCCCAGCCGTGTTTTGGAGATGGACATGCGTTGCACGTGCCAAATAACAGGCGTGTTCAAAGGGTGTGTTTTTTGGAGATGCGAGGTTCAGATGCTGCTGTAAGGTAGTCTTGGTCCCAAGGTTGTCTCTCCCACCTCCCC